AAGCTCTTGTCTCGTAGTAATGTTTGACAGAAAAAGATCAGACCGGCGCTTGGTTATCACCTCCCCTTTCCCCACGCCGCAGCTGTGCTGGTGATGGCTTGGGTGCCATCGCTGAAACACAGAATGGAGCCAAGTCCACATGCAAGTATTGACTTGTCAGTCAGGACCACTCGATTCAGTCGGTGCAGGACACACTGCATGCTTTGCCCTAAAACTTGTGAATTTTTTTTCTACATGGAAAATGAAAATTACTTGTCACTAATAAAGGCTTTCTTGTAATAGTTAGGCGTACTAGTAATGAAAGAAAAATGAGGTGCAGCTAGCCTTTTATTATGAGTCCGGACATTAACATTTAGTGTTACTCTCTTAGAATTTGAAGCAGTTTTGTGCCCCCCTCGGACGAAGGCGGTAACCCAGCCGAGCTGTTCCCCAGGCTGGGTTTTGCCCCCACGCAGCCAGTGCACCCCTGTGCCCCCTTCTCACTGGTACTGGTTTGCTGAGTAAGCCTCATCACTGGTGGCCTGAAGTTTGCGAGTAAATGGGCTGGTGGTAATATCTGCCTTTTTGCTCTTTGGGGAATTGCTGAGGGAAAGGAAATAGCTGGATACTTGCCCTTCTGTAAAATATTCCCTTCTGAGAGAAAAAATTAGAAATAGGGTATCTCTTGTGCTGATCGCTAGAAGGGACGGTTTTTATTGAGGACACTGGACGGGGGAGGACGTTTTGTAGTGTGGTAGTATTGAAAATGGGTTTTACACTGATGAACCTGATTTCATTTCAGTGGTGCTGCGTCACATCCCAGGTGTAGGCAGTTAGTGCAGGGCTAATGAAGCTCACTCTGCTTACTTTGGAGTTTCAGCAAGGTTACGTCTGGCAATATTATGAACTGAGTGGAAATCGCTGAACTGCTTCCAGATCTAATCTGTCCATGGAAAAAACATAGCCTTTAGTATGGTATTGTGTAAATTATCAAATAAACCTTTTGATCTCAGTTAATCCTGTGTGGAGGAAAGCCCTAGGTGTCCACATCTGGACATAATTCATATGTAAACTGACTAACCCCCCCATTGATAGGTCAGATTTGGCTGTAGTTTGTTTTTCAGGACCCCCTTATGTTTTGTGATCTAGCTTCCTCTTCTGACTATGTAGGAGCTCTAAGCTTTCACTAGTACAGTCAAAACCAAAAATGTTGGGATTGGTGATTGATTTCTGTTAACATAAATTATTGCAGTGAGAGGCAATACAGTAATTTTCTGGAAAAATATGAATGTTTAAATCTAGGCACTCGTAAATGAGGGTTAAATAGCTACTTTGGATATATTTTAGGACTTCATTGGATTAAAATAATGGAGCAAAGAAATTGCATCTTTGTCTCATTTAACTTAAATTATTATTTGCTTGGACCTAAAGACACTATTCACTGGGCACACACAAAATAAAGAACAATTTATTAGAGACTCGCCAAGAGTGAGAGAAGAAAATAAAAAGATAGGTAGAGGGAGGTGAAATATTTAAGGCTCACTCTTGAACAGATAATGGACTCCTAGTGTCATTCACTGTGTGGTAATAAGTCAAGCTCCTTCTCCTCTGCCTAGGTTAGACAGAGTTTCTTACGTTCTTTTCCCAAGGGAATTGGAGGATATTGAGGGACAATGATTAGTAGTCTGGAGAAATCTATTTATTAATAAAGATTGAAAACTAAATATGTACGACTCAGCTAAATGATGAAGTAGAGCACTTTTTCTTAAGTCTAATGTGGCAGTACTCATTGCCATTGCATTTGTATTGTGGTTTGATTGTTCTGTATGATGTGTCATGTGACATGCTATGTTGTACTGTGTTTACTCAGAGTAAATTTAATCCTTACCTCTAGTTAGAAGTTAATAGAATGACATCTTCAGAGTTCTGCCAGATGTCATTACAAAAGCGAAGACATCTTTTGAAGTTAAAGTTTTTTCTATTAGAAAATCAGAATTATGGCTCATTTTGAAGCAAACTCCACAGAAGCACCTCAGAAGGTGTTAATGAAACAAGACAGAAGTTTGGCGAGCTGAAGATATTCACTAAAGAAACTGTAAAGGGCTTTTTTTTTAAGTTTCACTATATGAAGAGAGGTTTAAGAGTGTAAATTTTAAAATAAATGTTAAATCACTTTTCCTGTTGCATTTACATTATGGTTAGGAATACTGGAAATATCAAATCTGGCAGGGTTTGACTGGAAGATCTATTTGACTTCAGAACATACGTGAGTCTTTTCTGTTCACAGCTGAGATGCTGGGAGGCAACGTCAGAACTGTAATGGAAAGCTGGCCTGCATGAGGAAGTTAGTGTATGCGCTTTGCCTGGATTTATGTCTAGTTTACTTCAGTTTAGCTTCTCATGGTTAAGTGACTGGCACATGTGAAAGATATTCACATACTACACTCACTCCTGCTTAACGAAGACTGATGTTACACTAATCCAATTGAATGACTTTCTGTAAGCCTCATAGACTCCTCTGGTTTACAGCTTCCTAACATTCAGTCTCTTTGGGTACCATAGTCCCAGTAGAGCAGTTATGGTAAGAAAGACCTCAACTTCTGTGAATTAAAAAAAGTTAGTACTTAGCCTGTTCTGCGTATTAGTCCTAAATGTATGCATAAGAAGAGGCTCAGTGTTTTGCAGGAAATGTTGGGAGTCCTTTTTCCCTGTTAAAAGTAAATTGGAGTTGCAGTCTCTCACAGCATTTAAGGATCAAACACTTACATGTCTTTTTATTCCATTTCTTCTTCCTGAGTTTTTCCATGTAAAAAAGATCTAACGTGGTTATATTGCTTATTCTGTTACTGTCTGTCTACTTCTAGCACTTACAGGAAGTTGATGAGGTTCATTGCTGTTCCGTCTATCCAGTAAGAAGCACTTTCAATACCACTCCATGTACGGTGTGAATCTTTGTTTAAATAGTATTGTCCTTTCATAGGAATATTGTCTTGAAACTGATCACTTAATGTAGTTCTAACTCTTTAAAGCTAACAGAGTACCAGCTAGCAAAGCCCTCTGATGCAAACAGTTGGGAGCTACGACTAGGAAGCCTTGCTAGACCTGGACATCTGATGAGAAAGTTTTTCTGGGGGGAGTTCTGTCTAAATGACTGGGATAAAGTCATGCCTGTCCTGCTTGGCTTAGTAGCTTGGGCTATTGAATCAAAGGTCCCCATATCTTTCCCGTCACAATAAACCTACCTGTCTATCATTCTGTCACTTATGGCACCTTTCTGGTAAAATTTTTGAGTTTTTCTCCAGTCCTCTCACAATTTAACTGGCTATAGATAGTCTCCAAAGTGTACTCATTCAAGAAAAGAGTGTTCTTTTGGAATCTCAAAGGGCTGTTTATAATTAAAATAGGTGGTTAAAAATTAATGATTTCTTGGCCATAGTTTCCTGGGTTTAGGCAGACTCTTGGTAGCAGCTATATGAATGTGAAAAGGGATTAATTATTTTTCATATCTTTGGGCTTGAATATTCACAGTTGCATTCTGCATTCTTTATGAATTTCCATTTTATAAAATATCTAAAGTTGGCCCTTCAGTAGAAGAGTCCTACTGACGCAGAAATAGCTAACCAATTGCTTTCTTAACATTTACAGAAAGTGCAAAGAAATTAAAACATGAGCCTAAAAAAAGTAACATTCATATTTATACCAGATTGAAGGATTTTTGGCAGAACTATTACCCTGCTTATCATATGAACTTGGTTGTCCAATTGAAAGGTAATACCAAGTATAAACTTTGTATGTTCCTCTTAAGTACTGTCCGGTTTGACTTCAAGTTCAGAGGTTTTTTTGTGAGAGAATGACTCTACTGTAACATATTTTTTGATGGATGCATATTATGGGTGAGATATGTTTTTTGCTGTGTGTGTATTAGTTTTTTGTCTTCTTAAAATAAATGTAATGTTTGATGGCATTACAATAGATAGCGTATTGCTACCACAGTGGTGTTTGGGTTATCTTGACACATTTACGATCAAAAGGCATGCCACGCTTGAGTGCATCGGCTTAAGGTTGTATCTGTGAAAGACAGAAATGTGTAGATTGTAGTTCTTTTCCTTCTGCTTAAAAGCATATACAAACAGTAATTGTTCTGTGTCTGAAGAAAATCTCTCTATAAATACAC